ATCAATATTTGCATGTCAATAGTTTCAGGGTCGCTAAAACTGTTTTACAATACTTTCGAGTATTTTTGCTCTTGTGGTGTCTGCTTTAGTGAATATTCCCATGAATTTTACAGTGTTGACTGATTATGGAAATTGGGTTTCCTTCCATACAGCCAGTCAGTTGATTGAGTCTATTGCCCATTCTCGCGTCACTTTTCAAATAAACCGATTCTCTTCATCGACTCCCTCTTTCGTAAATAACTCGGCTACAAAAACGGTTCCTCAGTGCTCACTCAGCTCACCGACAAACCGACATGACACTTAATTCTGACTTATGTCCGAAAATCGTTAACGGCCGATTTAAATGTGCAGTGATCCGAACTGTCAAAACCATAGGATTTTTTGATCTAAGTAAAAATAATTTGTCCAGAATAGATCAGACACGAACCAATTCATAATTTTTGCATGCGGGTTCATGGTGTAGCTAAATATTTCCCGTGAAGACGGAGCCAGATGTCAGTAGTGTGCACTGGTCAGAAATTTTATTGTTTTTGCTATGGTCATTCATGTCGGTTTGTCGGTGCTCAGCTGTTGACAGAAGCAGGCCACTCTCGATGTGTGTCCACGATCGTCTGTTTACTCGGCAGCAATAATTGTGTGATCCTCCTAATTGTTCTTCATCAGCCGTTCTTTCGGTCGATGCGACGTCGACTTTGGAAAGCAACCGTTTAGTGATGAGTGTAAGTTTTGTGTCCAATGAAAGCACTCTGTCCCCCGTTGAAGATACTGCCATACAATGAAATCACTGGAAGCGGCTCTCGTTCTGATGGAGTAGGATTTTTGGATAGCGGAAGATAAAGTGTTTATTGTGTTGTACATTTTGACTATAGTTTAGAGATGTTTATATAGTGAACAAGAATCCTCGACGCTGTAAAATAAATTCGATTGAGCCTTATCAAATAAATTAATGAACAAAAAAAAAAATTTTTGGCTGTTGAGTTCATGTGCCAGAAAAATTACCAATAAATTGTACGATTATGCAGTTGAAAAAAAAAGATTAAAATAGATGAGAGTAGCTCCTTCATTTATCAACGTTGCTACCACAAACTATAAAAAACTTCTTAACCTCTGATTGCTCTGCCAGCAACACAGGCAAAACAACAGAATCCGTCATTCGATCTCATTCACAAGTTTTATGTTGACCAAACAGTGGTACCATAACTGGAGACTGTATATGAGCATTTACCGGATAGTGGAACATAGAAAGCAGTACTACCAAATCCAACATATCCGAACGAAGACTGAACAAATTGTGGTGCTGCAATTGAACCCTTAAAACATAAATTCAGTGTGGCATGGGAGGCATGGGCACTGCTTTACAGTATACAATGGAAACTATTTGTTGTTTTGAATAGCTGGCGTCGACTTACATTTGAAGACCGTCTGAAACCTTGCCTACAAAATATTGGATTAAACACTAGAGTTAAAAATTTTGAAGTTATTTGCAACTTACATCTTCTATGCTAACTCAATTAATAATAGAATCAGGACTATAATTAAAATCAGAAAATAAAGCATGAATCAATATCTGAGTAATTCATTTTGTGCTTCTAAGACCAATATAAACTTTAAAATAAAATTAAACACTACAGCATTAGTTTTCACTAATGCTTATGGCTACTTGAGATCAGTGTTGAGAAAATATCAAAATATCAAATCTTACCAAAGAACAAGATCACGCTTGATTTTCGTAGACAAAAATCAACATGTAAACAACTGCGGTTGATATTGCAAACTGTGATAGCGCAGCTCGGAATATCAAGCTAAAAAACTCACAAGCTGCAAATCTCTCCAAACTAAGGTGAGATTGAGTTTCATGATTTTTTTGCTTTACACCCGAACGCAACCGAATCTTCCATAACGGCTGGCAGCAGTCGCTTCGTGTCTGCCATCGGTGAATAGAAAAAAGAGATAGGATTATTATACCTTCTTTTCCTAAGATAACGAGGTGCATCGGAATCATTTTTGCGTCGAATCAATTCTCAGCTTCAACTTTACACGTTGTGAATAGTCTCGCAATATCAAATGAGCTTATAAAATCAATATCAAGCATGATATTTTGCTCCAATATCACACGAGATATTGAGCGCGTATGAGAGCGGAAAAATATCAATTTGCTAATGATTTTGCCATCACTGCTTGAGATCTTAACAAGCAACATTTCTTACAAGTTGCTAGTTTACATGCATATTTTCAAATAGCCAGAGATGAACCAGCCGATGGCTGAAAGTCTCTTTAATAAAGAAAGATAAGAGATTTACAAATATTTATTAATATTGTAGCTGAAGACTTGACTTAACTAAAAATCTGTTTGATTTGATAATTTCCTATACATGTTTGATCACTATAATGCTTCTTCTTTTTCTTCTTCAAGATGCACTTCCACAGTTATTAATTGAGAGCTTTCGATGCCTGCACAATTTTTGCATTAGTATAATTGTGTGGTAAGCACAATCATACTCTATGCCCAGGGAAGTCAAGACATTTTCCAACCCGAAAAATTCCTAGACCGGACAGGGAATTGACCCCAGCCACCTCCAGCATGGTCTTGCTTTGTAGCTGCGTCTTAACCGACTGAGCTAAGGGAGGTCCCACTAGAATGCATTTTGATACAACTCTCGATGAACATTTCAAAAGGTCCTATCTGCAATGATCAATTCTCTTCCCTTCGACTTCTGTTTTGATAATCACGGATATGCAAACAAATTTTGCGCTAATTTTACCACCTAGTTTGATATAAAATGTTCTTATCTAGCGTTCAAAACGTCAAATACAAGATGGAAAGGTTTTGCAGCTGAGTTGTTAATGAAAGAGAACGTTGATTAAGATAATCGATCAATATGCATTCAACACTACATGAATCGTGTTCAGTCCTGCTATTAGAACTATCAAGAAATATGCGTATAGTAGTTTAATATCTCATCATAAGAAACAGAGTCAGCCTACTTAGGAATTTCAATGTAAGGGAAAAAACAAATGGCCTCCACCACTCACACAAAAATATCTAACAAGGTATTGCGCAAGTTCTGTGTTCATTTGCAACCAGTTTCATTAACATTGGATGACATTTAGATTGGTACAGCCAAAACAAAAAAAGGTGTCACCAACATATAAAGGGTGTCCACGATGAAATTGCCACACTATGAAATTGCTCTTACTTTTTAACCGTTGGGTAGAATTTAATGAAAATTTGGGTGAATTTAGTTCATAGTGCATTATTTACATCCTGCAAGTTTTAAAGTCCTGTGATCAAAACTCGCGGAAATGGAGTCGAAAGAACAGCTCGTGCGTGATAAAATCTTGCGCATTCATCACGAGAACAAGGATCTCTCGCATCGTTCCATCGCTAAAACGTTGGGAATCGCGAATTCCACGGTGTCACGAGTGATTAAGCGGTTCGAGGAACGGTTGACCACCGATCGGAAGCCCAGAAGTGAAGGAAAAAGTATTCCGTACAACACCAAAAATCACAACCGCGTAGTTGGGGCCTTCAACCGAAATCCGAACGCCTCCGTTAGGGATGTGGCTAAGAAGCTGCACCTAAGCCGAAGTTTTGTCCAGAAGGCCAAAACTAAGGCTGGGCTTCGAACGTTCAAGGTACAAAAGGCCCCTAATCGCGACGAGAAGCAGAACAAGTCCGCCAAAACCCGTGCCAGGAAGTTGTACCTCAACATGCTGACGAAAGTTGAATGCTGCATCATGGACGACGAAACATATGTGAAGGCCGACTTCAAACAGATCCCCGGCAACCTGTTTTTCACGGCCAAGGATAAGTTCAGCGTTCCGGAGCATGTCCGCACTCAGAAGATGTCCAAATTGGCGAAGAAATTCCTGGTTTGGCAAGCCATCTGCACGTGCGGGAAGCGGAGTGCACCTTTCGTGACCCAGGACACGATGAACGGACAGGTGTACATAAAAGAGTGCCTCCAGAAGCGGCTGCTTCCTCTCCTGAAGGCCCACAACGTCCCAACAATCTTCTGGCCGGATTTGGCCTCATGCCACTACTCCAAGGACGTGCTGAAGTGGTATGCGGACAATAAGGTCAATTTCGTGCCGAAAATGTTCAACCCTCCCAACACTCCGGAGCTCCGCCCCATCGAGAAGTACTGGGCGATTATGAAGCAGCACCTTCTTAAACCACCTAAGGTAGTGAAGACAGTCGAGGAACTGAAGAAAGTATGGGTTTACATGCAAAAAACGGTTGATTCACAGGTTGTGCAGAATCTTATGGCCGGGGTTAAGGCCAAGGTGCGGGCATTTGCGTATGGACTGTAAATAAAATACGAGTAAAATGGTAAAATGAAGTTTAATAGTTATTTCTCAATCCCTGAAAATTTGATGGCAATCGGATGAAAACTCGAATTTTGCGAATCAATTTTGTGTGCGGCAATTTCATCGTGGACACCCTTTAGCTGACAATGGGCGCTGGAGGGTTAATTCAGATGAGTATTTCTAATCAATTAGCCCACACACATGCAAAAAAAAATGTTGATTGGTTGAGGCAGGTGATATCTGATACTGTATTTTAAGGGTTTTTGTTTTGGATTTTTTTATGCTTTATAATTTCATTCGTAAATTTCGTATTCTATACATGCTATGTACAATAAAACATTCAATATTTACAAATATTTATTAAAATTGTAGCCAAAGACTATATTGACTAAAAATCAGTTTGATTTGATAATTTACCTATAAATGTTTGATCACTAGGATGCACTTGATACAAATGCATTCAATACTACATGAATCGTGTTCAGTCCTGCTATTAGAACTATCTTTAAATATGCGGATTAAAGTTTATAACCTCATCATAAGAAACAGAGCCAGCCTATTTAGGAATTTCAATGATAGGGAAAAAAAAACAAATGGCCTCCAGTCACCACTCACACAAAAATATCTAACAAGGTACTGCGCAAGTCAAAAAAATAATGATCTATTCAATAGAAGCAAGGAACCGAAAGTTGTAAAAACTAGCAGCTCGATTACGCTTCTGATTTGTACGGTTTAAAGAGCTTTGGTTTCTCTGGAGATGGAGTCAAAAGAGTTTGGCTGTGTGTCGTCGGTGCGGCCATGAGAAGTCCTTGGGAAGACCCATTGAGAGATTTCAGTGGGCTATTTGTACTGTTTGAGGTGGTTGAAGAGATGTCCAGCTTCGATTTATCTGACCCGGGACTGAGCGATAAAGCCGAATGTGGTGAAGAAGGACTTTGAAGATCATGTGGAGGGGTATGTTGTTTTGGGATGGATAGTGGAGTGTACCCTTGTGGCATAGAACTCAACATTGCTGCAGCAGTGGTTGGGTAGGGGGAGGCATGTAGGGGTGCAGTTCTTTGTGGAATAGGATAAGGAGCATATCGGTATCCGTAGGAAAAATGATTGGAAGCTGTTGGAATTTGTGGAGCCATGGCAGACATTTGGGGCAGCATTGGTGCAGGTGGATAACCATATGGCATACCCACGGAATTAGCAGCGGCTTGAAGGATTGACGCAGCGAAGGCAGGATCAGAGTATACTGCAGCGTAAGGCCAAGCGACTGCAATCCGCTGCCTTTTGTCCTTCATTCGTCGATTTTGGAACCAAACCTGGAATAAGAGAAAAAAAAAATAGCATTCGTTAGTGTTGTTTAGATCAATACGCATTCCAAAATTGGTTGTTCCATGACAAAGTCATCACACGCATCAATAAAAATGATTCACACATTCAAGGAATGCTCAGGTAGGAATGGTCACTTAACACCTCAGTGATAAGCTTTATATATGTCTTCCATATCAGAGAAACACTTAATTATTCACATTCAGTAGCCAGAAGAGTGTCATAAAGTCAATGTTGTTGATGAAACGTATAAATAAATATCTTGAAAGGAACAATCGGAATGACAGAAAAAGAGAAATGATGATGATGATGATGAAACGGAGTATGAAACGATCGCTAACGCCGCCGTCGAACCGAATATGTTAAGGTGGCGGGAGCTGTGGTCACTATTTATATACTTTTACCAATGGGGCGGCACATCAAACGGCGTCGATATGGCATGTGATAATTACATTAATTTTATAATAGTTATTTGATAATTACCAAACAACCAATATCTTGTATCAACGCACTGAAAGAGAGATCGCGAGATATCGTGAGAATATTTCATTGCATGCGGAAAAAGGATTTCAACTTCAATGCAGTGAAACGATGGTTGTTTAATGAATCGTTTGCATGTTCATATTAAATAAGTATGTCAACAACTATGCATGACGGAGTAGAAAATGGAAGAGCCAAAATATTTCGAGCATCGTCAGTAGACTACCACGTTCCATTTTCACTCTTAAGAAGTTACTGTGAAATTTGAGATTCTTTGTCCTAAAAATGATCGGAGACGAACGTCGAGTGTGCCAAATTTTGCCTACTGTGTTTCAATGTGGCACCAGTTTCTATGAGAAACACAGTTGTTTACATGTAAATGTTTGCATTGTCGCGTCATTACGACTGAACACATGCTGTTTCGGCTTGTTCTCAAATTATAGTTACAAGTGTCCGTCAGAAATGGCTAGATATTGTTAAAGACCTTGTTTTTTGTGTTATACTGACCTTAATTGTTGACTCCGGGAGGTTGAGCTGGGTGGCAAGTTCACATCGACGTGGCCTAGAGACGTAGTTTTCTTTGTAGAATTCTTTTTCGAGTCTTGCCAATTGGTCACGAGTAAAAGCTGTTCTATACCGACGGACAGATGGATCCATCGGTGCCTGTTGATGGTTGTGTTCTGATTGTGGACTGGTACAGTCTGGAATAAAGGTAAAAGTAGAGTCAAATATTAAATTATTGTACCACCTCAAGTTCCAGCAAGCAAAGAAAAACAAAAATCCATTTATATCGACCGCCCGTTGCTCAGAAGGGAGTTAGAAAATTTGCATTTTATAAAGGAATTTACCTCAATGACGATCGGAATTTCAGCAGGCGTTCATTACTTTGTTAAAGTATAGTTGAGCATTCTAAATCCTTTTTTGAACAAGGTATGAGTTAAAAATCATATGGTGGAATTGGAATCAAGAAGTAGTGTTAAATATTTAACAATATGTCAACAATGTGACTCTTTGTCTTATAAATTTACCTTTAACTACCATTTTTACCTTCCCATACGTACCGTTAGATTTGAATTAGATCTAACGGTACGTATGGGAAGGTCAAAATGGTAGTTAAAGGTAAATGTATTAGAATAAATGGGAGCTGATGGCTTAGAATTCCATCTGACTATTTTTTTTTCTATGTAACTTATATGAGTCTGAGACATCAAGAATGGCTCTTTATAAAATCATCATATAAAAACCAAACATCTCCACTTTCATTAAAATTGCACTCAACTCGGATTTGTAGCACCCAACAAAGAATGTTTGCTAATTAAAGGCTAATTAAGCGAGTTTTAAGCAGAAAAAGTATATTTTGTCTGAATAAGGTCATATTCTGCTTCCAATGTTTGTTGGGTATTGAGGCTCTGTAGTAAGCAAACATATATTTCTACAGCCCGTCGCAATATGCTAGAACGCACCATAATACGAATGTAATATCGCAACAAATGGAAACTATGCATCTATGAAATGTAAATTGACATCGATGTGCTCAATCTCATGAAATTTCAATACAATCGATGCAATGCCATTTCTTTCCTTTCTTGACAATTAAAATTATTTCCTTTCTTGACAATTAAAAAACAACGTGGTTGAAGTGCATCCTGTTTTATGTGATAGTAATTTGTATTGTTTGCTGTATATTTTTTGTTATTGTTCATTATATTGAATATAACCAAAAAAACATTCTGATTTCCGTTTGTATTGATATTCAATTTAATATTCGTTTGTTATTAATTTCAACTGCATTATCTTTCAATTGCACAATGATGAATCAGCTAATTATTAATGCTATGCAAAGATAAACATAAAATTCTAAAAATTGATTTTGTAGCATTTTGATTATTTTACAGATTTATAGATCGGAGCTGCGATTAGCAGTCAATAGTTTCCAACTTTTGTAATGACTGTATTTTAAACAGGTTGTTTTCCAATAAAATGGATAACTTACCGCTTAGAGGTGATAGTGGCGGGGATGACTTTGTATTGTACTGATGTGCGCTGAGTAAATCCACAGATATTGACTGGTCTCGATGCTGCAATGCATCCATTGTGTAGTTGCGAAATCCTTGCATTTTCATTGAATTATGTTAACTGATCAATCACGTGAGGCTTTTTTTATTCTTCGATAATAAGCACTTTGATTCTAATCACACTTAATGAGGATTGTTTGTCGATTAATGATTTGTTCACTAGCACCTTGTTCGACATCGAAGCACTAAATGAACGTTTATTTTTCTTACATATCAATGTATGACGTGAATTATGACTAACGAACACGAACACTAGTTTCAAACTGGTTGAGTGGTGCAGTATGACTTCATGTTAAATACTGACCCTGCTGCAGTGATGGGCGTTTCCTAACGCTAACAAAGGCGGTGCTACCTATCTATGCTTGTACCCTAGCAACGAAGAAATCGAACAAGGGTAAGCGAGACTGCTATTTGAATGAGACAACACTTGGTTGCAATGAGCTCGTCGAGCTTCGAAAGAAAAAGAAAGACGAACATAGTCGACTGTTGCTATAATGTTCCCTCTCATTCTCCATGATTATTCTCTCCCCAGTAGAAATCGATTACGCTTTTGCTCTTTCATGCAGCAGCGCGAGACAATGGATGGAAGCGTTTTTCCTAGCCGCAAGGATTATTATCCTTTTGTGATTATTAGCGCATGATATAACAGAAGCGGTAAACAGGAGCATAAAACGACGTGGTAAAGCAGACTTTTATAAAATGGTGCTGGGTGTTTTATGTACACGTTGCTGCCCTGATTACTGGTGGCATGTATTCATGTGCCTTCCCATTGATGTCATTCACTCAAAAAAGGTTCACGTGCAAGGGTGAGAAACGAGTGATAATAAATTTAAATAGCTGAATAACTGCACTTTTTACTACGAAGATTCATTTTATCAGAAAGACAAAACCTTTATTTGGTCAGAACCAACAACACTTAAATAAAGCTTTTGTCTTCCTGATAGCATGAGCCTTGAAGACTTGACAAAGAATAATTCCTGTGAAGTTTATAAAATTACGTTATGAATTACAAATTTGGAACCTTCTCTGATACGTTTGCAAGTAATTATACGTTTCATAATCTGTGATCTTCATCTACTGGTGGTTACATTACATTACAATTACAACATATGTTTATCTAGGCATATGTACACCGTTACACATATACTCGATCACAATGACATACCTTAATACTTTGCATTCTACAATACATAAATTAATGTGGTTTGTTGTATTCTGGTAATATCAACTGTACTGTCTAAGTACATGTTAATGTATTGATACAGCACAATGGGTATCAGGGAAACAAACCATGTTTTAATGTTCTTAAGGTATTTAGTTTTGTGACGAAGTTTTTGCAAGCGGCGCGCAAGTCGACCAATTGTAACAGTATAAAATCATATATTAGAATGGGTCATCGTTATATGGAAAAACGCAAAATTTATCTCACCAATCGAGAACAACTCTTTTTTAGTTCCATTTGGAGTCCCAAACAACTGTGCAAAATTTGGGGACGATTGGTTTTAACTAGGTTTTCCGCATTGCGTTTGAAATTTGTATGGAAATTAGTATGGGGAAACCACATTTTTTTTGCATTTGTATCCCTAGAGACCACAATATTGTATGAACCATGCAACTAAGTATGTACAAATATAGTCTAGGAAGTGTCTTATAACTTTGCCAAAGAAAGTACGGTGCTAGAATGTATCTAGAAAAAGTTATAACTATTCAAATATTTATGGTTTGAATTAAACACCAAAAATCCCTTTTTCTGCCAAAACTGCCGGTGTACCATTGAGAGTCATATTCCAAACTGAAATATTTTCGAAGTTCTTATCTTGCCGATTTGGTATGTTCAGATGAATTACTCAAAAACATTTGCTCAATCTCATAAGCGTAGTTAGAGAATGGGGGTGGGGCTTACTATATGCAGTTGTTAAAACGAAAATTATTGTTGTGTAAATATTTAATATCCACTTGTCCGTTCATTTTTTAGTGAGGATATGTTGTTTGAATTATTATTCCAACTACTATATTATTTCTATATAAAGCTTTTGTATGAAATATTAAACTGCCATTTGGGCCACCTCCATAAAGAAAACACAGAAGTAGTTGTACGTCAAAAACCAAAAACAGGAGAAAACGTAAACTGTCTTCACCAGTTTCGTCTCCGACACAGGTACATTTGGATTTCACTTGTTGGGCGAACTTTAAGAGGGCTACGTTTCAGTTGGGTTCCCAAGTCAAACGTCATTTCTAACAGTGCTGATTCCTTTTTGAAATTTCGACCGGCTTCATGCAAAAACCGGCAAACGAATGGAGTAATGATACAGATTATTTCAATGCGATACAACGAGTTGCTTCCGGGATGGTTGCCAACGATATGGCTGAATGAAGGGTGAAGCTAATTTCTGACTTATCAAGAGATCCACTCGATACCTAGTTCAACAGCAATATTTGCTTCAGGGGATAGAACAACATCGAAAAGAGTACCCTGAGAAATCGTAGAATATATTAAAATGAAATATAATCATTACAATCCAATGACATTTGTGTGAATGTATCTGACATTGTATATTGCACCAAATGAGTAGGGAAGGGAATGGGGGCAGGGTTACTTCCACTCACTTGCTATAAAAATTGTTTTTCAGAATTATAAAATCATTAGATGTTATAATGATAATTAATACTTGTAAGTTACAAGAAGAGGTTGTTAAGTATGTGTTTATTTCCATTTCGTCAAGCCACTGTAGACTACATACAATGATTATTACAATGTTTACTTACATACTATGCATTAATTCTATTCTGCTTTAGCTTAGTTTTTATTTGCTGCTTGGACATAGTGATGTCAATAGTTCCGCAATGCAAATTATATAGGCGCATCATTCGATTGATTGGGCTATTTTTTGCATAGTTTGTTCTGTACGATTTTTCTGAAAATAAATTCCGTTTTCTAAGATATCGACAAGGTGTGTAAAAGTTTAATTGTGCGAGATTTTCTGCCGAATCTATGCGCATTGAAATAATGTCGTTGATGAAGAAAAGCATTACAAATTGGCGGCGCTCCTTAAGTGTTTGTATATTGATGAACATGCAGCGCGCTTCATAAGATGGTAATGGAAATGCAGTCCAATTCAATTTACGTAAAGCATATAAAAGGAATTGTTTTTGGACAGATTCTATGCGTTCTTCGTGTATGGAAATGTATGGATTCCATACTAGGTGGCAGTATTCCAGAATTGGCCTTACATATGTGGTATATGATAGCTTAATAGTGTATGGGTCTTCGAAATTATGGCTGAACCTTTTGATGAAGCCTAGCATTCTGTTTGCTTTACTAATGATAGTATTATAATATTCTATAAAAGTTAGTTTGGAGTCTAGGATTACACCTAGATCTCTTACAATTTTGCTTTTTTTCTACTATTTGGTTGCCTAATGATATTTCAATATGCGGTGTTTCAATTTTTCTGCTAAATGCTATTGCAGTACATTTTTTTACGTTCAGTTGAAGAAGACTTTTACTACACCAGGTTTGGAATATATTGATTTCATTCTGAAATTCTTCTGCATCGCTAGAATTATTTATTTCCTTAAAGAGCTTCATGTCGTCTGCATATACAAGCAATTTTATTTTTTTAAGTAAGTAGAAAATGTCGTTTATGTACAAAATAAAAAGAAGTGGGCCTAAATGAGAACCCTGGGGTACCCCAGAGGTGACTGAAATTGGTTCTGAAAGTTTATTTTGAAATCGGACTATTTGTTTACGATGTGTTAGGTATGATTGAAGCCAATTCAAAAGTCCAGGCTCCATTCCTATTTTCTGCAATTTGAGGATTAATAATGGTATGTCGATGCGGTCAAATGCTTTACTGAAGTCGGTGTATAGCGCTTCAACATGCTTGCCACTGTCCAACGCTTTAATAATGATAGATACATATTCTAGAAGATTAGAGGTAGTTGAGCGACCTTTAAAAAAGCCGTGCTGTTTACTTGATATTAGATTTTTCACCTGCTGAAAAATATTGCCGTTTACGATTGATTCAAAAAGTTTTGGAATGCAAGAAATAATAGCAATTCCACGATAATTTCGAATATCTGAATTTGCACCTGATTTGAAAATAGGTACCAAATAAGATGATTTCCAAATTTCAGGGAATTTTCCATTTATCAGAGACATGTTGAAAAGACGCTCTAGAGGAAATGCGAGTTCTTTAGAAAGGTTTTTCAAAAATATGGGTGCGATGCCGTCATAATACCTGTCAATATTGCTTTCAGTGCGTCGCAATCAACGATTTTTCGATTCGTGAGCGGTCACTCTGATTGAACGCTCACGAATCATAAGATCGCTGATTGTGACGCTCTGCAAGCGAAATTGACACGTTTTATGAGTCGAACACATACTTTACACCCTCTTCTTGTTACTTTCAAATTACAACATATTGGTACATGCGATGTTTTTCTTCAGTCGAGTATTAGAACAAGACACTGAAGAAGTCTGCACATTGTAGACGAAATACGCGTATCTGTCAAGGATAAGCAAATAAGGTAGTGGAATTAAATGGAAATTACTAATCCTTCTCTCTCTCATTAATTTTTTATAGCAAGTGAGTGGAAGCAAACCTGGTCATATATATGTTTCCGCAACTGTTTTATGACAAGTGTGCTACTAGGGTTCAGCATTGTTTCAGAATGCAACTCTTTCTTGTTAATTTTAAGGATAACAGCGGTCAGCAGTTTTGTTATTTAATAGGAAACTTGAAATTGTTGGCTGCCATCCATCACTGCATATTGATCTCATAAAAGGTTACTAAAATCCACAAAACATTAGTTCTCGTCTGATGTAAATCCTTAGCTGCAATGAAAAACACAGTGACATCTGTGTAAAAAATAATGTCGTAACATTGTAAAACACGTCGCATTACATTAATATACCTACATAATAAATAAAACGGGCCCAAATTCAATTCCCTGGGGCTTTCAAAAGTTATTCCCCACGGGATAGAATCGCTAAAGTTCGTTGAGTTCTATTACACAAATAGCTTTCAAACCATTAATATGCAGAACTCGAAATTTCAAAGTGCTTGATTGATCTTAACAATAAGAGCATACATTTTTTTTAAATCGTTTTTTAGATCCAAAAAACACCAAGAATTGTGTCTATTTATCTTTCCACTTTGATAAAACAAAATGAATTGGCATTTGTGGTTTGTGGTTTCATAAGAATAATAGAGAATGATATCTCGATTGTTCTGCATCAAAA